CCCCAAAACCCCAAAACCCCAAAACCCCAAAACCCCAAAACCCCTAATTGGCAGCGGCCCATTGAAGCGTCAACATTAAAGACTATTAATCACTGAAAAGCTTATTTAAACTAATTAAATGATGTTTTCCCTGAGCCAATTTGATGCACTCCTCCTAGAGAGCACACTGGAGGTGAATAGCGTGGCTTTCCTTGCGAGGAATTTCATAAATGAGAATAACTCGTGAAGGATCACCGAGAGGAAGAGAGACTATAAGTACCAGAGCAAATTATTCCAAGAAGTCTCTGTAATTACTGACAAGTTTAAGGATATGTACCAGGAGATGTTAGAGATTATCCTTCAAGATAAAAAGCTACTAGGTGATAAATTAGATGAAGAATTATTAAAAGAAAGCTCAGATGAAGACCTGCTCGATGAAGAAGAACCTCTGAAAAGCATCCCTTCCAGTGAATTTGGAGATATTTCTCCTCTCCTTGAAAAAAGAGAATGGTTAAATGACAATTGCATTGATGCATTCGTTTCATTGATAAGTTCTCAGCCAGAATTCCGGGAGAAGAACACTATCATTTTGAGTTCAGCTTGGTTCTCATTTTTAAACAGCTGGTCAGGGAATGGAGAAGCAAAGTGTGAGAGAATTTTATCAAAGAAATTAAACAAATCTAAAACCCAAGTAAGCAAAATTATAATCCCAATTTGCTACGAAGACCATTGGATTTGCTGAGAAATCGATATCAGCAATCTCTCAGTTAAAACCTTCAATTCACTTAGTTACTCAACCTCAAAATCAGCCAATATAGCAGGGAGAAAGATTCAGAAATTCTTTGAAAGCTCGAAATCCATCAATAATATCCTTATAAATATTTTCAAGACTCCTACATGCTCTCCTGAATTTTCTCTCACTTCCGCTAAATGTGCTCAGCAAGAGAATGCCTACGACTGAGGAGTATATGTTTGCCTGAACATTCTTGCCCTGACATTATCAAAGACTCCGGATTGAGAACCTAGATTTCTTCGTAATCGCTTATTCAATGCGATTATTCATCAAGATCTTAAATATCTTAATTAATATATCAAGTTAAAAATTAAAAGTTGGGGTTTTGGGGTTTTGGGGTTTTGGGGTTTTGGGG